CAGGTCTTAAAATTTTTCTGGTAATTTCACTTCATTTTACATGTATTTATAGTGAGTTTACCTGTAAGGTTATGGAAGATTGAGATTGTTTAGGATTTTTTAAGCTTAAGAAAAGGATGAGAAAGGCAGCGAAGCACAACAGACACTAGTATGGCAATATGTAAATCAATGGATGTGTAACTGATGTGATTCTGCAATTTGTGTATGGGGTGAAGGTGGGAGTTCATAACCCACTTGAATCAAAGTGTGGAATATGATATGTCAAGAAATTTGTAATATTTTGAACAACCCACAATAAAAAATTTAAAAAAAAAAGAAAATGAATTCATTATAATTTCTTGAAACATTGAGGCTACTGTATTTTAAACACTTCTCATGATCACTGACTTCAATATAAATGGAACTGGAAATGCCACAGAAGCCAACTAGTGGGGAGACTGGGGAGGGAGGAAGAGAAAGAGACAGAAAAAAATTATAGTAACTACTGCCATAAGTGTGTATACATTTTTCTTTAAAAATCTTTATGTTAAACTAATTTGAAGAGTTTTGCTTAAAAATAGCTTCCTTTAGAATATGAAAATAGGGAACTATAGATTGATGCTTTAGAAATTTAGTGTTTCAAATGACCTAGCGGTTGATAAGAACACATGAATTTAAAAATAAATAGCATATACTATGAAAGAAGCCAAAAAAATTTAAACGAAATTTGAAAATAATTAAAGTTTTAAGCCCTAAACCAGATTTGTCATTGACATGAAATGATAGATTTTTGTCCCTTGGGTATGCTTGAAATAAACATGGAACTCAGTATTGTTTTTAAAACTATTTTGCTTTTATAAGCTAAGACAGATGTACAAAAAAGATGCAGTTTTTATTTTGTATTGGCAGCTTCCAAATATTTAGTATCTATTTCCAAGAGTTGCAATTAGTAAAGCAACCATGGTACTGAAATCTGCACATCCCACAAGCTAATTATATTTGCAAGGTCAGAGTGAATACATATTTTCAGAAAAATAAAGGGTTATATAAATATGTGTCTTCTACTTGGCTGTTATATCACAGTTTGTTGATCTGGAGTATAATGTGTACAATTCACAAATTTGTCTGATAACAGAAAGTGGTGTGTGATTGTGTTTATTTTACTAACCAGTATATTCACAGCAATCACTTCCAAATATCTCTCCAGTAAAGATGTGTTAATTACAAAACAGACAAGGTCTTCTATTATATTAAAGCTACTAACAAGAAGACAGCAGGAATCACACATGTAAATAGCATCATCAACCCCTATTTTAGTCCTCTGTTTTGATCTGTGAGTTGCGCATAGACCAAAGGTGCTATTAAAGACTGAGTGTATGAAATAGGCAGCATTATATGAACAAAATTTATTCAACAAGAAAACAGACCTTTAACATGAATTTAACAAGCCTGAGAAATTATAAACTATCATATGCTGCAGATTCATGCAGTGATAATAAACAAAAAAGGAAAGTAAGAGGTTTCCCTAAGCTAGCCAAACTGCTAATGGTTTTGTTATAAGCTGTCTACTGTTGCAGTGACCTCTGAAAAGTCTCAAGGCACTTGTACCAGAAAAAATTAAATGGTCAGGCTGGTAAATAGAGATTCAATGTGGTGTACAGGACTTCATTATGGGAAGGAATTTTTAAAGCATCACAACACATTTCAGAAATTATTTTTCATAGTTTAGCTTGGAGGTTTCTGTTATTACGTAATAAGGAGATAATCTTTGTGCAGAGAATTTGATTAAATTACTATTTGAGATTTACAAGACAAACTGAACTAGTTTATATAAACTTCAAATGAACTCTTTAGGAAATTCATAAAGCTCTAAGAATGGGTTATTCCTCCTTCTTCCCCAGATCTTAATTAATTCTTGGGGGTTCTTTGTTTAGTATGTTGCATCTAAGATTTCTCTTCCTAAACATGGAGTGACCATTTTGCTGTCATTCTGTTGCATCATGCTGTAAATACACAAACAGAGAGAAATGCCTTCAGCTTATACACACCTCCAAGTGCTCACTAGGGCTTTTTCTTGAATCTTACTTACTGTGCATAATTAACACCTTTTTTGCCCATTGCTCATTAGTGCACTGGACATTAATGAGTCTATTTTGATAGGTTGCTCTAAAGGAGAAACCCGCTTACTTTCACAGCAGAAGCAGCAATTATAAAATTGTAGAGAAATTAAAATGTAGACTATATTGCCATATTTATATTTTTATTGCATGCTAAATCTAATTTTGGTTTGCAGGTTGTTGAACACGTTAGTTTCCTTAAGACAGTTGCTATAGTGATGGCAGCAAATTTCCTTCATCTTCCTGTAATCATTTCTATTGGCTATCATATTGCTGCTCAGGAATGGTCAATCTGAACATGTCATTTCACATAGGACATCATTTATTAGTTGAACAGTATATTAAAACCTTATTTTTTCTAATTTCTTTGTAGAATTTTTAAAATTTCAAGTTTTTTTTTAACAGATCATGCTATCTATTTATTTCTTATTTTCATTTCCTGTTCACAAAGTTTCACACCTGCTTATAATATTCCAGAAAAATACAAAAGACTTTTGCATGTAAAATAGCTCTCTGCTGTTTTAGTTTGAAAACATTCAGTATAAAAAACTAAGCATTTTGCTGTGATACATAATGAAATTTTCATATTTTGTCTGTTTTTCCCCTACAAATGATTGAACTGAATTATTAAAATAGAATCATAAAACAATTAGACCAAAATGATATTTACCATTAATAGTTAGGGGTGCTGATTTTTAATTATGTATTTGTTTACCTTGTATACCTGTCAGAATGGTACCTTTCCCCTCCTTTGCTCACATGCTAACTTGATCTTATGTGTTTTTAGTACAAAATATAAGAAAATTTTACTCCAGTGAAGTTTTCTTAAAAACAATTGTTTGATTTTGTTTGTTTATTATTTATTTATTTTTTATATTGGGAATTGAACCCAGGGGACACTTAACCACTGAGTCACATCCCAGCTCTTTTTTTTTTTTTTTAGAGACAGGGTCTTGTCAAGTTGCTTAGGGTCGCTAAGTTGCTGAGGCTAGCTTTGAACTCACTATCCTCCTGAGCCTCTGGGATTATAGGCATGCACCACCACACCTGGTCTGGATGTTATTTAAAGTATGTCTGTACCTGTTTTTATTATGTGTTATGAAAAAAGGAAATACATTAAAACATTAAATATAGGAAACTTAGACCATATTCACATATAAATGTGAAAGTTAAGTCTAGATAAAGGTTATTGTATAAAAAGGAAAAAAAGTTTACAAACTATTAAGTCATTCATGTTTTGGGAATGCTTGCTTTTATTTTGAGGCAAGAGAAATCTCTGGGAAAATTTGAACTAGAAAGAAAAGCAAAATTCAAAGTTAATTTTTTTAGGCCAATTGGGCAGAGACCTTAGACTGATTCACTTGTCATAGTTTTGGGTATAAGTTTATACCTTTGTAAATATAATATTTTGACTCTTCAGCCTTGTTAGAAATGGTGATTTTCTTTCTTTAAATCTTATTCTTTAGCCAAAGCATGTAGAAATATTTACTATATGATTTTTAGATTTTCGTTGCTTTAATCTGAAAACATTATTTTTAATCTCTCATTATGTTTAAACAATAATTGTACAAATGAGAGTGAATCTAGTTGATAGTAGATTTTAAAACATTAGTTTATCTCACTGGGCCTGGTGGCACATGTTTGTAATCTCAGCTACTTAGGAAACTGAGGCAGGAGGATTCCAAATTCAAGTCCACCTGGACAGTTTAGTCAGACTGTGTCTACTGGGGATGTAGCTCAATGGGTACAATCCCCAGTACTGGGACAGGGGGCAGGGCTGGCATATTTCAGTTATTGAACATTTTAAAAAGTGAATCTGGAAATAATGTCCTGCTCTAAAACTGTGCTGTATGACAAGTGTATTGAGTTAAATTTCCTTAAAGAGGCAATCTATTCTAAAGTCGTATGTGTTCACCTAAAATTTGATGCTATTTTAAAGTTTTAAGAAGGGCTGGGGCTGTAGCTCAGCAGCAGAGCACTTGCCTAGCATGTGTGAGGCACTGGGTTCGATCCTCAGCACCACACGAAAATAAACAAATAAAATAAAGGCATTCTGTCCATCCACAACTATTAAAAAATTAAAAATTAAAAATAAAAAGTTTCAAGAAGTTCTTTTAAATCTATAATAATGACCACAGAATGACACAGAATAGTATATGATTCTGTCCCTTACTAAGAGCTAACAGATGATATCATGTAAGAATTTTAAAACTTTCTATAATTAATTACCAATTATTAATTTCTGTACTGTGAATTTACAGCCACATCATTGAATACCATGATCCTAGCTTAAAGCGGTGATGACCTTGGTTTTCTTACATTGTGCCTCCTCTGTTGACAGTGGCTTGGACATGTAAAGCCATCAGACAAGATATAAAGTCTTTCATAGTCACAAGAAGTGAAAGGTATCTGACTAGAAGAGAATACATGGGCAAGTGCCTGGCTGGCTGCAATTTTATTGTCATTTCAAGTACTGTGGTAGTATAATTGATGTGACAGGGCTGGGCTTTGTATGTAGTCCCTTAGCTTGTGCTCACTTTCAGTTTTAGTTTCTCTGTCATTCATTTTGATTAGTTAGAATTTAGGTGACAAACATGCACACCCATGAAGGCTGTTTGGTGTAAGTTTAGTTAATGACGTATTTTAATAATAAAGATGCAAAGTTAACATTTTTCTTTACTGCTTCATGAAAATTGCAATAATTGGTGTCATCTTACATTACAAGATAGAGGGTGGTGTGCTGATGGCACAATCAGCAGGAGGTTCTTTTTATTAATATTATAATTAAATGATTTTCTGGAAATAGGCCAGAAACAGATGCAAGTTGATCATGCCTTGTCCACTGTTGCTTGGCATCATCACTTGTTTTTTTAAAAGAATTGACTTGACACCTTGTTTTTACAGGTTGTTATTGATGCCTTCAGATTGATCAATGCTAATATGATGGTCTTAGGACATGAACCAAGACAAACAACTTCAAATCTGGGTCACTTGAACAAGCCATCTATCCAGGTAATGGCTCTATTTGATAATATGAAATGTATGTAAAATGATAATGTATTTTAAAAGTATAAAAACTCTTTTACCTTTTTCAGACTTGCAGTCATTTTAAGATCTTAATTCTTCGCGTTTTTACTTTGTTTGCAATTAGTTTTTTTTTATTTTAAAAGAGAATTATATGAATATTATTTTAGAAGTTATATTTGTTCATACATGAGTCAATTTTTAGTAAGATCTTTAAAGTTTTTACCATATGTAAGCATTTGGGAGCATAGCAGAGCCTTTAGATTAAGAATATCTTAGGTATGGTTAACATTATAGAGAAGAACCCATAAGAGCTTTAGGTAGAAGGTATCGGCCACCACAATTGATTGGTTTGTACACATTTCTCATAGCAGAAAATAATGGGAAAACTGATACATATTTAAACAAGCCTCTAGAAAACAGTTTGGAATTGTGTCTACTGGGGGTGTGGTACTGGGTGTTGAATTCAGGGCCTCATACATGCTAAGCAAGCAATTTGCCACTGAGGTACATCCCCCTAGCCCTTTTGTAAATTCTGTTTTGAGACAGGGTCTGGCTGAGTTTTCCAGACTGTGCTCAAACTTGCCATCCTCCTACCTCAGCTTCCTGAGTTGCTGAGATTGCACTGGGGTATCACTATACCCAGACCCAGTAACAATTCTTAAATAATACTTAAAATTTCCAACCTTTTTGGTTTAATCTTCATCTTTAAAATAACTGCTGCAAAACACAATATTACTTTCTATGAGAGTTTATAACTTATTTTATCTAATGATATCAACCACTGTTATTGGAGTTATTGGTATTCAGACAGTTAATATCCTCTTGAGTGATTAATGTTTTCTTTGTCAATGAGACGAGTCGTTTACTTGTCTCATTGTTTGAATACAAATTTTCATTGTCTGCAAAAATTATTTTAAATGTGCCATATAGCCTATGTCTGTATAGTTAATTACTTCTCTAAAGATTAATTAAAAGAACAAAAATAACACGTTTGGTTAAATAGAACACATAAGACAAAGACATAGGAGTTATTGCTGTTCCCCTTCTGACACCTCGTTCTTCTATAAGGTTGTCTTTGGGGAATTGTGGCTTTAACAGTTAACCATGGTTAAGTGTTGGTTACACTTTGATAACTTGGTACTTTTAAACACTTGATTTTGTAGCAACCACTCATCCGAAATCTTCATCAAAGTGAAATGTTTTGTTTCAAAGGATTGAGGTGTGTTGCTTTTGAAAAAAAAAAAAATTTTTTTTTATAACTTAGGGAAGATTACAGAATATAATGAGTATGAAATAAGCTACCAGTGATTTTGATTGGGGATAGACAAGCCCATACTTGTATGTTCCAAGAGAATATATTATTGGACCTGTTTAGCTTGTGATAATGACCTTTCTTATAAACTCCCATCAAGTCATACTGCTTCATTATTTTTTATAAAAGGTTAAGTAGCATCTCCAATCCAAAATCATTGTGATTACTGGTATTTTCTGCCAGAAGTTTTTCCTAATTGTAAGTCAACAGCCACCTGTTGCAGATTTCTTTCTTTCTTTTTTTTTTTTAATAAAACACTGCTTTTTAACCTTAAAAATTGAGTTAAATCAATATTAAAATCTGTTTTACTCTATACCAGTCCACTTATATTTTTAACCCTTAGTTATAGTCTTAGTTTGGTGAACTTTATGAGACAGATTCTGAATGTGAGTTAAACCACCTATGTATATATAATAGCTACAGCATCAATATTTTTCCTTTCATTTTAGTTTGTTTTGCCTTCCAATTAGAATCTGTAGATATATTTATTTCACAGTTTGTATAGCGCCCATCAGAATGACATCTAGCTGGGTGCATTACAGTTTTAAGACAATTTCAATACAAAAACACACAAATGGGATCAAGCCAGAAAATGACTGAATAAAGCCATACCTTAAAAAACTTTCTTATTTTTCTAAGACACACTAAAAAGAAAGCAACCCAAAAGAGCTTGAAGTAAATGGTAATGACCATAAAATAATTTTAATGTAATATTAGTGAAATCTTTAACATGGGGATTAAAAGCTTTTCAGAAATGCCTTTTATTTTCAAGGGAAAGTTAGCTGGTGCTCTTAAGCGAATTCTCAAGTAGTAGGGGTAGAAGTCTGAAAGCAGCTGTTAGTACACGCTGGCGTTCACTAATGATTTTCTAACTCTATTTCTTTACTGTTATACTTAAAGTGGTAGGGGAGTATTATGATTACGTGTATATTACTTAAGGAAAGATCAAAATATATTATGAAAGAGATTATAAAATAAGATATACAAATTCTTCATTTTGTAAATATACAATTTTATAAACTGTGCCTGTGTATTTACACCAAAACATTAGTATTGATTACTTTTAGGTGATAGAATTATAGAATTTTATTTTCTTGTTTTTCCTTGTCCATACTTCTTAAACTTTCTACAGTGAAACAAAAATATTTTTAGAGTTTTTTTCTTTTGCCATACTGGGATGGAATCCAGGGTGCTCTACCACTAAGCTACATCTGTAAGCCTTTTTTTTTTTTTTTTTTTAATATATTGACACAAGTTCTTACTACGTTGTCCAGGCTGGCCTCAAACTAGCATACCTTCTGCCACTGCCTGGGATTATAGGCATGTGTAACTACGTCTGGATCCAGTATTCTTTAAAAAAGCATCCTGCTTTAAAATATTATAATTTTTTTTGAGATGGTCTTGCCAAGTTGTCCAGCCTGGCTTCAAATTTGTCATCCTCTATCACAGTTTTCTGAGTAGCTGGAATTTCAGGTGTGTGCCACCAATCCTGGCTAGAAATTGTTATTTTTAAAATATTAGTGATAATGTTGAAGTAGCTAATAGGCAGATTTTATTTACACTTTCATGTGTTATAAAGGAGAAGCTATTAATCCTGGTAAAGAGGGAAAAGTTTTAACACTTATATAGTACTATAGGCTTCTGTATAAATGTGTAAGACTTTATATTGTTTTGTACTCGGAATATTTACTGTTGTTAAATGTTTAGAATTAAGAGTGTTAATAAACATTTATTTTGGTAACTTAATTTGTAGAACTACTCCATTAAAAACTGTTCAGACATTTCAGATAAAAGTGTTGCAATAAATCTGAAGATTGTCAGACTCACGTAATTTAGAGAATGTTGATGCATAGATGCATGTGCAAGCATTTTGAGCTTGTAAGTATAGGGCTTTTAGCTCTCAGTACAGTTGCATTGTGTAGTAGGGTTAAGCTACTTGCATACATTATTTTGATAATTATTAGATACACCATTGTAAGACAGTTGCCCAGGAAACTGTTGTCGTTTTGTAGATAAAGCAACTAAGGCCCAGAAAATTGAGTTGTTCCTAATTCAGTCACTTAATATAAGAACTGATGGTCATAACCACATCTTTTAATTCTTTTATATAATAGTTGAGAATCTAATTAATTAATTTTGGCATAGATAATGTGTCATATAGTTCAAGATTCAAAAGACCTAAAAAGGCATTTAGTAAAAACTTTCCCTTCTGATTTTACCTTCTGCAACCCAGTTCTCTACTATGGAGGCAACCACAAAATATGTTTTGTTTTTTTTATGAGTTGTTCTATTTATATATAGAAAGCTTCATTTTAGAATGTGATTCAATGGATATTGTTTAGCACCATATTTCCAGTTTATTAATGTAAAATAAGGCAAACAAATTTATCTTTAGATGAAGCAGATATTTTTAAGAGCATATAGTGTTTCAAGCCTATCAAGGACCAATTGCTTATATATAATTCATAAGCTGTGTGTTTTATAATGCTTTCCACAGCAGGGAGTGTATAGAGGCATAATTAGAAGTAAACTGGCCATGTGCAGTTTACTTTACATGAGACCATTTACATGAGACCAAAAAGCTCACAACGATTTTCTCTGATTTGTGATGAATTCACTGGAGTACACAGCAGATGAGCAAATAAAATTAGAAGACTGTGTATATCATTTGATTTAAAGTTAAATTTGTTTTATCTTTAGTCTTTTAATTCTGTCTGTGTTTGTCTTATTACTTTTATCTAAATAATTTAATTGAAAACCAAGAAGGTAGTGCCTTCAGATACCAAATTGTTTATTTTAGCAGTGTAATTACTATCTAAAATGTAGACCTGTTTGTCTACCATGTTGGCTTTTGTGTATATATTTTGGTCACAATTGTTACTTGATACATCACCACATGGAATTGGGCAGATAATGCATTACATAAAGGTGCTTGGATGAAGGGACATTCAATCTGAGCTCCACTCTCCAGCCAGACTGTCTGCTTACAGAATTGGGCACATGTTTCTAACTCTCTACACGGAAGATACACCTCATATAATACACAAAGATAAGTTTAGATTAAAGATCTATACAATGTAATATTTTCATGCATTGAAATTTAATTCACTTTGAAATGAATAAGGATTTAATAGATATTCTTAATTTCTTCTTCTCCTCCCCCCTTCTTCTTCTTCCTTTTTCTTCTTCTTCTTCTTGTTCGCCTTCTCTTTAAAAACAAAACAAAACAAAAAACACAACCTAATAGCACAATTGATAAATGGACAAATGAACTAATAGACACTTCTCAAAAGAAGAAATACAAATGGCCAATAAATATGTGAAAAAAATGTTCAACATTGTTAGCAGTTAGGGAAATGAAAATCAAAACTATACTGAGATTTCATCTCATTCCAATTAGGATGGCAGCCATTGAGAATACCAACAATTTTAAGTGCTCAAGAGTATGTGGAGATAAAGGAACACTTTTACACTATTGGTGGAATTGTAAATTAGCACAACCACTATGGAAATCAACATGGAGGTCCTTAAAAGACTAGGAATGGACTCACCATATGATTCATCCATAGCACTCCTTGGTGTTTATCCTAAAGAATTAAAGTCGTCATAATGTAGCAATAAATGCATACCCATGTTTATAGCAGCACAATTCACAATAGCTAAACCATAGAACTAGACAGTATGTACATCACTAGATGATGGATAGTGAAAATGTGCCCAATGGAATTTTACTCAGCCATAAAGAAGAATAAAAAAATTGTGTCATTTGCAGGAAAACAGATGGAACTTGGGATCATTATGTTTAAACCAAACTCAGAAAATCAAGGATAGCATGTTTTCTCTCATTGTGGAAGCTAAAGAGGAAAAAGGAAAAGAAAGTTTAGGGTAGTAGGGGTCTCATGAAAATTGAAATGAGATCAATAGAATAGATGAAATAGTCCAGGAGGGAGGAGGGGAGGAAAAAGGAAAATAATGAAGAATGATATTGGCCAAATCATATTGTTAAACTGTGTGGATGACTGTGAATTCCACCATTAGGTATGACTATAATGTACCAATAAAAAAATGTGGAAAAAATCGGGATTCTACATTAAATGTAATAAAATGTAAAGCCTTTTCCTTAAAAAAAAAAAAAAAAAAGAACAAATGCACATGGAATCAGCCTACCTTACTGAAGATTAGAAGATGTGATGTGTAAAGTAGATGTTGGGGGATCATTAAATGTTCACTTCCCTACTCCTTCTTTTTCTATCTCAGCACCATCTACACTGTAAAAATTCCATCAATCAAAGACTGGTGGTGATTTTGGTTAGCTTTGTCTGTAGATTCTTGACTGTTTTTCCCAAAGCCTTTTTTTTTTTTTTAATACTTGTTAAAAATACTCCTAAGTTGTATTTCTGTATTTTCATCATTTAGACTGATAGAGGGTCCTGTAGGTCTCCCAGGATACTGTTTGAATCACAGTTGATCACTGTTGCTAGAGTTAGATACTTGGGCAGTTGTGAATTGATTTTAGCACATCCAGTATCATTGTTTTTTAATATAGCTATGTCATTAGCTTACATTTTTATTATAATTGATTGGCCTATTTGTCTTAAGAGACAGAATATGGTAAAAAAAAAAATTCTGGTTAGTAGATTGCATGTCACTATATAAGAGCATGAGCAAGAAAAACAGTAAAGAATAAAATATACACTGTTAATTTGGAGATGTGCCTGAACACATTATTTGAAACGATAAAAGTTGAACTAGGAAATAAAATCCAGATTAATGTGGTTGAAGAAACACATGCATTTTTACGGCTTTTTAAACTTTTGAAATACAAAGAACCACCAGGTATTACATCTGACTTAAAAGTTATAAATAGGTAATTAAAACTTAGATTGTGATGAGATCAGACCTTATCTCTAAGTCTTCTCAAGGCTATCAAAAAAATTGAATTTCTGAGGCTCTGTATCATGCTTTAAAAATGTGTCACCCATTCCATTAAATTTCACTTTACTTCTAAACCAGAAATGGTGGCGCATGTAATCTCAGCAAGTTAGTGAGGCCCTGTCTTGAAAACTAACAAAAAACTTTCCTCAACTTGTGGTTGAGAAAAATGTTTTAATTTAAGATAAAATACCCTTTTTAGAAGATGATAAGAGTATTGTGTATAGGATATATCAATAATTTTAAATATTTTATTTATTAGATGAAAAATATTAAGTTATCCTTTTTTAAATCATTTATGTAGGCCTTAATTCATGGACTGAACAGACATTATTACTCCATCACTATTAACTATCGGAAAAATGAACTGGAACAGAAGGTAAGTTTAAATTTTTGTCTTAGAAGAGCAAATCATCTTTCACACCATTTAGACTATTAACTGGTATATGGTTTAAATTTGATTTCTTTACCTGTTCTGCTGTTTCCAAATATTTATTTTGACTCCTGATGAATTATAACATAAAATAAAGAAATATTTTATTGAAAGACTTGTTTTTCCTTAATTGGTAGGTGCTGAAGTGAGAGAGGAAGTGGAAAATGAAAGTGTTCAGTTTTGTTTCATGATAAATTAAAAATATATTTCCGTTATTTTTGTGGGGTTTCTGATTAATTTATCATCTCTGATAAAGTTGACTTTTATAATTCTCTTACTAAAAATGTAGCTTTTCAGATTTGCTAAGAATAAATTGTCATTGTAGATTTTGATGTTTATTTTTTTAAGTATTTTTTAAAATTGTAGATGGACACAATATCTTGATCTATTTATTTTTATATGGTGCTGAGGATCGAACCCAGTGCCTGATGCATGCGAGACGAGTGCTTTACCACAGAGCTATAACCCCAGCCCTTGAATATATTTATGGTAAATTAAGGAGAGTAAAGAAACAGCTTAAGGTTTTCAAATATTTCAAACTAGATTCTTGTCCCTTTTAATACAGTTTTCAAATGTGATTACTTTTGAAAAATGCCAAACATCTTGATGGTTTAAATTCTTTTGTTTATGTCTGCTATTAGAATTATTTCTAGTATAATTTTTCTCATGGTTAATATCAAAATTTAATTCTGCTTGGTTTTTTGTTTGTTTTTTTTTTTTTTTTAAATTATAATCTGAACCACTTTCCCCCCTTTACTATTACAATTAGTCTTGTACTAAATTAGCTTCTTATATTTCTCTCTGGGAAGGACAAAAAAAATGTTTTTTTAAGAACACTGAATTTCCTATGAATAACTAGTGAGTTTTGGGAACTATAGCCATTTTGAAGTACACACATGATAAGAATTCAGTAACAAACAAGACAATTAGTACTTGAAACTGTTTCTCACAAAGGTGTTTACTGGAGTGGGTGGGGGGCATCTGGTTTATGGACAGTGGGAAGGAGAGTTAATTGTGCTGTCCACACATCTATCCCCTCTTTCAGTATGTCATTTCCATCTTTAATCTCATTTCTAAATTGGAGGTAAAGAATATGCTATATTATGTTTTTTTGGTGGGGGGAGGTTGCTTTTTTATATTTAAGTTTCGTAAACCAAGGCCCAAAGCCACCCATACACTCACCTAAAGGACTTAGATGTTTGAACATAGTAATGAATGAGGGGAACAAGAGACCAGTTCCTCTTTGACAGGAGGGAACCCTATAAAGCTGTCTTCTAACTGCTTGCATTTGTCACAAAGTTGTCTCCTGCTGTGATAGATTTACTTGATTGCTTGAAGTACACTTTCAAAACTTATTTTCAATTTAATGGAATAATTACAGGTTGTGAAAAAGGATTCCACTCAGATTCAAAGTGAAAAATTCACCTAGATACATAAATATTTTATCAATATAATATCTGTCATGCATCTATTTGGTAATATCCAGTTAATCTCTCTCTCTCTCTCTCACACACACACACACACACACACACACTCACACTCACACTCTTAGATAAATTAATTACTGCCATGTTTATACTCTTAATAACTCAGATCAGCTCTTCTCATGGTAATAAAAGCCTGCCTTTATTCTTATTCATCCAACCTGTATACTTAACCCCAAGCCTTACCTGGCTGTCCCATTGTAATCTTTATGCAGTCATTGTCAAGATGTCCTTTTGCTCTATTGAAACTTTCTTTGTTTGCTTTTGTAGGGGTAGCAAATCCAATTCTCAACATTAATTATGGTTAACTTTATAGCATACATAGTTGTAACTATAAAAAAATTTCTTAAGTAGTAAATAAATGAAAGTAAAGAACCCAGAAAGTAAAAAACTCATGGTGGATGAAAACTAGTGTTAAATACTAGAATAAACAGTATTTATGTTAATAATCATGCAAAAACAAATGAAAATATTTTGTTTAGGTGAAAAAATTTACTTAAGTATCTATTTTCTAGAACAGTATCAGTGGAGAACATGGGAAGTAATCAAAGACATTGAAGTTACCTGTGTGGGATTTACTACATTCTTCTATTAACCCTGGGACCATAAGAAGGGAATGAGGGAGGTTTCTGTCTTGAAAAACTTCATAGGTGATTTTGTCATACATGTTATTTTCCAGAGTAAGATAAATTATCACAAATAGCTGGAGACCTCTAAACAAGTTAGTGTGATTTTCCTAAATTGAGCCCATACATTTTCAAAAGTATGTCTTTGGATCTTTTGGGAAACAGGGGGTTGTAATCAGGGGCACTCTACCACTGAGCTACATCCCAGTCGCTCAGGAGACTGAGGCAGAAGGATCACAAGTTCAAAGCCAGCCTCAGCAAATGAATGAGGCTTTCAGCAACTTAGCAAGACCCTATCTCAAAATTTAAAAAATAGGCTGGGGATGTGACTCAGTGATTAAGCAATCCTGGGTTCAATCCCTAGCACTAAAAATGAAACAGAAAGAAAGAACGAACATGAGTCCAGTTTGAGAAGCATTGATATAAGGTGTTTAATTTCATGATCACTTAATATAGAGCCCAGCCCCAATTTGTTGATATGATTACAAACTAGACAAATCTGATTTACTTCACAGCTTCATGACTTACATAAGTAAAGTTTTATGTTTTTAAATTATAGATGGAATGTTAGAATTTGAAGAAATCGTTGTGATTAGTATAAGCTTTTAATTCATAGGTATATAAACTGGGCTAAGCAACTTAGTGAGACCCTGTCTTGGGGGAAAAAAAAGAAAGAAAGGGCTGGGGATGTAACTAAGAGGTAAAGCACCTCTTGGTTAAATCTCCAGTACACCCTGCCCCTGCAAAAAAAAAAAAAAAAGACTGACACACAGTCAGTAAGTGGGGCATTTTATTTCCTTACCTTGGCATTTGAAACCCGACTACATGAAAAATTAGCAATTCTGTGTATAAAATAAAAATTTAATTTGTCCACTCAAACAAGATACCTATTGTTTGTTATTATTTGATATTGTTTAGAATCTAGACCCTGATGATCTTTTTTTAAAAAATTATTTATTTATTTATCTATCTATCTATTTATTTATAGTTTTAAGTGGCCACAACATCTTTGTTTTATTTTTATGTGGTGCTAAGGATCGAACCCAGTGCCTCATGCATGTTAGGCGAGCATTCTACCCCTGAGCCACAAACCCAGCCCCCGATGATCTTGAAAATAACAAGGCAGAGTCCCTGCCCTTTTGATTTCCCTTTCGTGGGAGAGAAATGCAGTAAACAAGTAAACAATAATTTCAGGTGTTCACATTACAGTATAGCAGATTTTAAAAAGAAAGTTTTATGTTTAAGACAGCATGGGATGGCTTGTTTAGATAATGTGGTTAGGGAATCATCTGTCTTTAAGGAAGAGAGTAAGGTAAGCCCAGCAAAGATGAGAATCACCTTCTAGGTAGGACAGCAAAAGCCAGGGGTTGGAGTACTCTTTAAATTATTATTATAAATTTAGGAGAATTCTAATAGGAATTTATTTGAATTCATTAATTCAAAAAGATTTTGTGAATTTTCTCAAGTCAAGTGAAGGGGGAATATCCTTCAGGCAAGAAAATAATTTCTTTTTCTTTATATTTTTTAGATGCTGCTAAATTTGCATAAGAAGAGTTGGATGGAAGGTTTGACACTTCAGGACTACAGTGAACATTGTAAACACAATGAGTCGGTGGTAAAAGAGATGTTGGAATTAGCCAAGAATTACAATAAGGTAAAAGTTACTTCTAACATTAGTTTTTTTTTTTTTTTTTTTTTTGAAATATATATGATTAGATACCAAGCAACTATATAAATATAAATAGTTTAAATACAGAGGCCTGTTCTCTAGATCAGAGAGTAAATATTTGACTTTCAGGTCATTCAGTCTTTCCTAATACCCACTACTATTGTGCAAAAGCAGCCATACATAATATGTAAACAAGTGAATGTGGTTGTGATCATTAAAATAGGCAGCTGGCCAGCTTTGGCCCATGGGTTCTCTAGTTTGCCAGTCCCTGTTATAGAACATGTAATATAGTTGCACATTTGAAATGTCTTTATTATTCAGGGACAGAGAGTAAGGGAATGTAGAACAGAAACAACAGCTTACTACTTGCTGCATATATTTTGTTTTATGAATTTTCCTACTTTCCATTTGGTTAAAAAAATCCTATTAATATTTATTGGAAACATACTATGTGCCAGGTATCAGGGATATGGTAAAAATTAAGCCATACAAAATCTCTGCTATTCAAGGAACTTACTTTCTTTCATGTCTTTTGGAACCTAAATTCAACCCAAAATATATTTTCCAACTTTTTAGACCATACATAAAAAATAGTTTCCATTTTGACCCAGTAAATGTAAATGTTTATGAATGTATAACTTATAATGTTTTATGAATCAGTATTTACCTTTATTACATATGATACATTTTTTGTTCTTTCTCGTCAAACTCCATTTTATTCTGTTGTAATTGTATACATACATATCATACATTCAGATTCAGACTCACTAATGGATTGAAAGCCTGCATTTTAAAAAATCCCTTATACATTATGCAGTGTTATGTTTGCAAGTATTTATTGACTATCTCCTGTACAAGTTGAAGTGGAAAACTGAGAGCCTTGCTTCATTTATAGGAAAATAGGGACAGTAAGAAAAGTTTATAAGTAACCAGAGCACTAGGCAAAAATCTGTTCCATAACACCTTAGTATTCAAATGTCCATAGACCAGCTGGATCATCATCTTATGGGATCTTGTTAGAAATATAGATTCTCAGACATACTGATTTAGAATTTATATTTTAACAAAGGTATCCAAGAGATTTATATGTTCTGGAAGTTAGATATTGTACAAATTGCCATAGAGAAACACCTGAGTCAGGCGTGCTGGCACACACTTATAATTCCAGTGGCTAAGGAGGCTAAGGTAGGAGGATCCCACATTCAAAGCCAGCCTCGGCAACTTAGTGAGTGAGACCCTTTCTCTAAATAAGATACAAAAAAAGGGCTGGGGATGTGGCTCAGTGGTAAAGTGCCCCTTTGGTTCAATCCCTGGTGCCAGTGGGACTGGGGATGGGGTTGGACAGAGAGAAGCACATGAGAAGTTTTATAGGAGTTCAGAGGCTCTGATTTTCTGTTGTGATACTGTCCCAGGTTTCTCTCTTAGAAAACAACAACATTTGAACAAGGCTTTAAAGGATGAGTAAGTTTGGAAACATGTAGGAATGTACCCATAGGCAAAGTAAATATGGGCAATGCCTAGTAGATAAAAAGGTCATAGGGCATATCCCACAATTCTAATACTAGATATTATCTAAAGGAAATGAAATCAAATGTCAAAGAGATATCTATACTTCAGTGCTCATTGGAGCAGTATTCACAATAGCCAAAATATGACATCAAAAACATATGTGTGTATCAACAGATAAGTAGAAAAAATGAAGCACATACATAATGGAATACTATTCAGCCTTTAAAAAGAAGGAAATCCCATCATTTGCAACAGCACATTGAACCTGGAGAACATTATGGTAAATTGAATAAGCCAGGTACAGGCAGACAAATACCACATGATTTCACTTACATGTGAAGTCTAAAAAATTGGAACTCATAAGTAGAGCATACAGTCGTGATTAACTAGGATTGGAGAAATGTTGGGGGTAAAAAAGGTACGTGGAGGAGTATTTATGAAACAGTGTACTTGGCTGGAGTATATAGTACATGAGGGTGAGTAGTAGAGTTAAGTTTTTTATAGTTCTTAAAATCTAATAATAGTTCTGGGAATATCAGGATACAAATTACTTTTGATCAGAGGCATGATATGCCCAGAACCTGACGTTAGAAATATAAGTTTACAATAGTGTAGAAGGAATCCTTTAAGAGAAGATTTGAATGGGAAATTCTATTTAAGAGGAGTTTACTATTCACTATTACCAAACAAAAGGTACTGACTGTCTGGGTTAACTTAGTGACAGTAGGAATGAAGGCATTAATAGGCAGATAAACAAAACATGGTACTGGTTGGATAAGTCAGGTGAAAGAAGAGGGAGGAATCAAAGATGAACTCAAGATTTCCTGTCTAAATGACTAGAAGTATGTTGGTACCATTAATATTTTCAATTTAGATAGGAGTGAGGAAGGAGAGAGTTAATTTTTAAATAAACGGTCAGAAACGTGGGGCTAAAATTTAATAGTAAGGGCTGGAACTTAAGATTTCAGGGTCATAGTTTAAAATGACATAGGATATTACACCAAAATAAAATTTCCCTTTTAAATTAAACACTTCTTACCCCCAAAACCAAACTATTATCCAGGAGACAAATGTGTAAGATTTACAGAAGTGTAGCAATAAGTCTTTCAAGGTAATTCAGTTTTGAAATAAATCTAATAGGTTCTTACAAACTAAATTTTGGCAGAATTAGGTTTGGCTTTGAAGAACATACCCTTATTATAGTATTTCAACTGGAAATACTCACTTAGTGCTAGATTGTAGGTAAGTTATTTTATATCTTTCTAGTATTTTTCATGATGTGAAGACTAGATAGAGATAGTTTATTTTTTAAAATAGTTAACCTTTTATAAATAGAATGTTACAATTTATTATTCAGCAGACTGTAGGAATGATTTTTATTACATTACACATTTAAGTAAATTTGTATTGGTACCACTGCCAGGAAGTAACCTATTTATGGTTACTGCTGCCCGTCCACAGAAGTTTTTCCTATTTTACAGTTTTAAAAAATCTCTGTAGTACTCAAAAACTTGTAAGGTTTGGTTAAAAAATGAAAACAATGTGTAAGCTGTGATATGAAAGAGTCCAAATTTGGGAATGTAATTCCCTCTTTGATTGAAAGAAATACAGTGGATTTTTTTAGTAACACTTAAAATATAAAATGAAAGGCCCATGCTACCAGTTCTTCATAGTATTCTTTTTTAATTGGCTGGTGTTTTAAACTAAGGTAATTACTGTTAGATGCCAGTTAGGTCCTAAAGTGAAAGGTTAGAAAATAATTAAATTCCTATATTCCAAGTTTTCAATTTCAAGTCTAAATTCACCACACAGAAATTCTACTGGATTACTACTAATTTGATGTTTCTCGTTATTGAACTACAACACCCACAGCTCTGTTATTCCAAACCCCCTAATTTATTCATGCCAACATGCATCTGCTATTTTTTTAAATTTTGATAATATTTGATTACATTATTTGTAAATGAATGTGCAGGTGAAAAATGAATTGCAAAAGAGACCATTTTTGAAAAGAATAGCATTGAAGCAAAACTTGCCTTTTCCCCAAGCATATAGTTCCATAAATTCTAAGATTTAACAGTTTTTTAGATGGGTATATTGACCTACTTAGTAACCTGAAAGAAATTTTTGAATTTCATATAAAAAATTGAATTTTTTATATGATTACATATAAAACATGTAAATATGATTACAGTTCATTTACTGTAGTAGTCAGATAGGAAAATCTTGTTTTGTGTTAGTGTAATAAGATAAGAAAAACAAAAGAAGATATGAATATTGGGGGAAATAGGTCAGATCATCATTATTTGAATATGATACATTTGTAATCACACATAGAAATCCAAGAGAATAAGCTAGAGAACTTTGAGAACTATTATAATTAAGAATAAATGTAGGTAGTAAAAATATTAATCAGTTGGGCAAATGAGTTAGGAGACTCACTGAAGAAAGACAAATGGCGTTGATAACCTTATTAAGTAGTCAAAGAAAAAGTTAAAGTAGAAATACCTTTTAATTTAAATTAAAAAAATATTTTATAAAAATGTACTATTACTGTGTAAGTAGATAATAACATCTTTTAGAGGCCATCTTTTTAACTATTGAAATCAATATGCTCTCTTTAACAGGTTTAGTATGAAAAATAAAATTGTATAACAACATAAAAAGAAATCCCTACCCTATTTCCTTTTTCCCCTTTTTTCAAAGTGATCTCTATATAGGTCAGTATGTTGTGTTGGTAACAGTATCACCTCTAAGGTGGGAAACAGAGAATTCTATACTTAATGTAACTCCTGAATTTTTACGCTTTTGCCTTCAGCAAGTGTTATATCTAGGGTTGTGTTGGCTCAAAATGTCAATGCCTTAAATAAAATATAAAGGGATATCTCTTGTACTTCATGGGCAATATAAACCGTCAAAGTCATGCAAGACCCAGGTTCCTTCTTTCTGCTCCATTTGCCATGGATTAGCTTCCATCCTTAGGTCATCTCTTGCTTCATGGCTAGAGCTTTAGCTATCCCATCTAAGTTTTACATTACTGGCCCTGGGAGAATAGTTCATTGGTAGTGCACTTTCCTACCATGCATGAGGCTGTGGGTTCAATCCCTAGTGCTCCCACTCCTCCCAAAACATTCCTCTAAGTTTGACACAGCTGGAAGAGAAGGAAAAGCAAAACAGGGGTAAATTAGTTCCCTTTCAGGATTCTTCCCATAAATTTCTTCCCAGAAATTTTGATTATCTTTCACTGGCAGACTTTAGTCAAATGGACACATCTAACAGCAAGAAAGTCTATGTAATGTGGTCTTTTAGCTGGAAGCAAAGTTCTTTAGTAAAATCGGGGTTATGTTACAAAAGAAGAAGAAGATGGTTATTGGATAGATTTTGCCCTAGAAATTTTTCTCAAAAAGCTGAATCATAATTTCTGTTAAACACACACAAAGTATGTACATACACATGTGATCTTTATTTCACATTAC